TCCGGAAGACAGTCCGGAAGTGTCCGGTGTCCGGGTCTGCGGTTACCATGTTTTTTTTTGTTGTTTTTATCCCCGAGGACAGGTGGAACGATAATTTCCTCGGGGACTTTACGCGCCAGAGTGTCTAACGAGCCCTCTGTATCATTCCAATTTTAATGGATGTCCCAAAGAACAAGTTGATTCTTTCCTCGATTCTCCCAATTTTATTTTTCCACTTTCTGTCTCAATTCTCTAATCCTTTTTGCTCTCGCATTGCCAATGGTCCGCCATGCCATATTTGCCTAAGACGTTTTCATCATCCACTTCATCCACTTCGATTCCGTCCATGCTCTGCTTTGAAAGAGAGAGGTACCAAAGCTTCATCACTGGTAGAGAGTTATGTTGATGATTATGGAGGTGGCGACTGAGTTATACCTTTTTCGGCCTTTTTTTGGGTCTAAGATCAAGTGCCGTACCTCTTCTGATCAGTTTCAATATCTGATCCTCTGTCCATCGGGCCAACCAATTACAAACAAATAACAAAAGATGTGGCGAGTCAGAGGAGAGCATCCCACAGGCGAGGCGATTGGCAGGAGACGATCCCTGAGGTAGAACCAGGAAGTCGGGAAAACACGATGTAATAATTGACTTCTTTAAAAGTTTTTTTTTTTTTTGGTTACGTGGGTGCAATGTAACAATGCACTTATTCTGAATGCATAATAGTATTTACTACTTGTTGTATTTACTATTTATTGATTTTTCTTCAACATTATCCTGCTCCTCCTCCTACTACTCTTCTTCCTCCTTTATTTACTTATCTTAATGATCCTCCTCTCCTTCATTCTTTCTGCGTGATTGGCATGCTTCGAGGCACGTGAATTTCGCTCGTGCTGCTGATGGAGTGAGTTTCTCGGGTTTTCGTTCATTACAGTAAGTTACTGACAATAATAACAAAGCGAAATATCATCAAATATGATGTTTAAACTTTAAACAGATTGAAATGGTTAAAAAAATATAATACAATAAATTGAATAAAATACAATAAAATACAAACAACCAGAAAAAGAAAATAAAAGACACACACAGAAAAAGAACATAGAAACTGGCATCTGGCTGAAGTTGACTTTCAGTGTAAGTCCTCAGGAATGCATGTGGCTGTTTTTCGAACCTACCTGTGCTCGCCATGTCGTAGTGGCTTGGAGGCAATCGCACAAGTGCAACCAACACCAGCAACCCTTATACCTGCCAAAGAATGCATCGTAGAACCAATGCGTCAGCAGCACATGAGCATCATCACTCAAGGCATAAAAGCATACTCACACTAGGAATTTCCTTGATGAATCTGGGCGCAATTATGGCTGAACGTCGGATGTATCTGAGCGCAATTACGTCCACAAAACAGTCAAAAACGTCCTACCTATTGTGAAAGTACACACACTAAGTAGTTTATGTCTACCACATCTTTGAGCCTCAAACGTTTATCTAAGGGCATACTCACATATGGACTCATCCTTTAAAAAAAAAGAAAAAATGAAAAACGACCACCGTCTAGTAGCATCTACTACCAGCTTCCTCCCAACATAACGAATGTGCGTTGTATTCGAGTTTTCGAAAAGAAAATCGATGATTCGAATAGAACGCATATGTGTTGCATTCAAATATCAGGACTGTTCGAAGAGATCGCAAATGTGTTGTATTCGAGTAGAAAACAACCTCTGCGTTATCTTCGTTTACAACGCATATGCGTTATGTTCGGGGGAAGACGGTAGGGGAACTACCGTCTTCACTCGAATAAAACGCCCGGTCATTATAGCTGTATTCAGGGTAACTTTCAGTCCAGATGCAGCGATAATGACCAGGGCATTCTATTCGGGTGAAGATGGTCGTACTCTGAGGAAGAGCATCCTCTCAAACCAAACCAGGACTTCTACCTTCTTCCCCCGAATACAACGTACGGTCATTCTAACTGTATTTAGACTGAAAGATACCCCAAATACAGCTATAATTACCCTACGTTGTACTCAAGGGAAGAAGGTTGTATTCTGATGACGTCTCGTGCTCATCCTTTTTCTTTTTTTTTTTCACTAAAACGAGTCTCGCGCTCATCTAGTTGCTTGCAGCACAGAAATCCGCTTTCTATGAACCCATGCACACTTCATACACAATAGGTTTAATTAACTTTAATTATTTTATATGACATGTATTAGACCGGACTTATAGCTTGTATACATTCATCACGTCAGCTAGTCCTTGGGGCGCATGAAGGCATGACAAAGAGTGACAGAACAGGAAAGCCAACGGATTTCGTCCAGGAGAACTTGCCCTGGTAGAGTATAGCTAGGAAAGCATGAACACAGTCGTAAAAGTGGCCAGGTTCATTGCGAAAGCATGAACAGAATTGTAGGAGTGGCCAGGTTCATTGTGTATATAGACGTAAAGTATAGCTTCGAAAG